TTCAAATAAGTCATGGCTGTACGGCAGTGAAGCATTGGTGTTGAGCACTGATGTCATGCTGTCGTTGATGATGATGATGATGAGTGGAACATGCAGGGCGTATGTGCACACATATGCAATCACAAATGTCGCTTATCGTCTCCAGGCGCGACGGAATTATTTGACTGGCTATAGAAATTGTCGCAGTTGAGGAATTGATATGGCATGAGCGTGCCATGCAAGAGATTTTCAGCTGAAGCTAATATGACACTCTTCGTTTAACGTGAGATTTAAGTAACCCGGAAAAGATATGCGGAAATCGATTTCGTTTGCTACTAATACGAAACCAAGTAGTGATCTAGTGCACACCCACACTGGACAGAAGGCAACTCCTGTCAGGTCGACTGTAGACCGCGACATTTTTTGTTGACATTGAATTGTTAAACAAAAGTCGTAACTGAAACTTCGATTGCAATGACAGCTTACGTCCTTAGATTCAAGAGTCCGTTCATTGTTTCTGGTTTCCCTTCTTCTCTTTGAGTCCTTCTCTGAGGCCAGTAAAATAAGTGCAGTCGTGTACAGCACCAACCGTAACTGCCTGTGATGACGGGTCTAGCAGCGAGAGGAAAACGTTCTATCTAAGAAGTAATTTGACGCCCTGCACACCCAACCAAGACAGCCTAATGGAGTGAGCGCCTGCATCCTTAGCCACAAATGGATAATTATCCTATGGTTAGATCTCAAGTGAACGTAGTACTGATAACCCACAGTAAGTGCAGAGCAACAGTTCACGGTTTCGGCATGTGGAATTTCGCGGAAGGAACTACTTATTAGCCTGTACATGGAACGTGGCATGTACTTGCTGGCAGACAAGCTAATCATGGACAGACCGAGTATAATCGGTCCAGTAACATAGGGTTAACATGAAGCTCATTCATTGGTTTGTCAATTACACGTTCCATACACAATTCTGCAGTCGCATTAGTGCGTAGGCTGCCCAGCAGTTCCAGTGACACTCTTGCCATCCTTTCTATTAAGGCTTTTCAAGTAGGCTGCTTTCACCCATGAATCTCAGTCGCATCCTCATATCTTCCTACTATGCACCTGAATTCCTTGTACCCAGCCGACGTCTACTCTGGTACCCTAATAACTCCAAAAGGAATTCGGTCAGCTTATTCTCATCGATTTGATTGTACACTGGTCCACGCGTGATGTGGATACCACTGTAGGCTGTATAAGAAATAAAGTTCCATTTGGAGAGATCGCTGTTACAATGAAAGTCCTCTTTCTACCCCAGTCCCTTTAGTGAGTAATTGATGATATCAGTGGTAACAAGCGCGGTTAAGGCTTTTCACTCAAACAGGAATTAATGTAAAACTTATTGAACCAGTAGAAACAAAGGCTTTTAAATCCAATTCCGTTTAATCCTAGTGCTTTTTTGATTGACGATCAACTTTTCTAACTTTTATGATCCCTGACACTGGTTAAAAGGTATTGGATTCCACCGATCTGGATTGGTGGACTGTTCGTGATCAAAATGGAGCTGAGGGTGAGATTCCACGATGGAAGCTGCAAGAGTATTCTACTGGAAGACGAACCACACTTTTGCAAACATCACCGGGTCTTAGCCACCTAACGCGGAAGGTCGAACATGGGCTGTCTCAGCAAACAAGTACCGCTAAACCTTCTGGTTACAAGTCACCAGTACGTGCCAAAACACCCGAACAGGATCCTCCCTTGCGGCAGTCCCCGGTTGCATCAAATACAGCACTCAAACACCAATCCCTACCGCCCATGCAAGTGCAAGGTCCAAATGTTTCCGGTGATTCGGATGTTGATGTGGCTGCAGAAGCCTCAAAAGCTAGTGAGCCATCATTTTCGAAGAGGCAACAAAATGCTTCCGGCAGCATGTCCATGGACTTGTCACAGCCAACGAAATCCCCATCTCCCCAGACGGTTTCGCACTCTCACTTCTCCATTCCTCAAGGAAATATGGTCTACATGACTGCAGAACAGATACAGGAATTACTGAAGAGTCCGAACAGAAACACCCAATTGCCCGTGGTCATTGTGCCCATGAATGAGTTACAAAACTACACCTCGCAGACCAGCATGTCATCAGGGGTGAATGGGAATATGAATTGCTTTGATACCTCCGTACCCATGCGGTGGCCTGAACTTAACGAAATGAGAGAACCGATGATGCCGGCACGTTTGCCTACTCCACCGATCCTTTCATCTTATGGTGGAGCGCCACTGGGTAAGTGCAAGATTATTTTGGTGTGCCGGATGGATTATTGCTTCTTAGTACGTGGAGTATTTTCTTTAAATTAATAGACAAGCAGTGAAACTTATGATGAGACACTGAGTAAACAGTAGGGTAAGCGAGATCCTAATCGGTTGTCGTAATTTCAATCCAGTTCTAGAAGTTCTCCTACTCGTAAGCAGTATCTCCATACTCCTAGAAAAGTGGCTTCTGAAAAGAAGATTGCCTTCTCATTGAAGATCTTTTCAAATCGTGTAACACGCATAGTCCTTTACCAAAGATGATACGTGAACCCACATGGCTCATCATCCCTGGACCCATTAATGAATGCTGAGAATTTCGTTCCATGTGACGTGACACCTCGTGCAAAAGATAATCGAAACACAATCGTCGCGTAACTTGCATCGGTAAATAAACACTGGCTACCGTATAGACTGCGCGAATCGTGGGACACAAAACTACTCAACCTATGGCTTACGGAAGTTCACGAACAATCAGAACTAGGCATAACCAGATCTAAAACACCTCATCTGGCAGAGCAGTAGGAAGTTGATGAATAGCTTACTGAACATATATTCATTCATAATTGGCTGGTTATGTCTTGGAGAGAATAGATCCGGTTTGTGAACAGCTAACGGTTATAACTGAGTGAATCGCCTGGGATGCAGTCACGATGAGAAAATTCAATGAAATAAAACTTCTGGTCTTATTGTCCCCCGTTCCTTCTCCACTAACCTGTTCATAGCCGCCGAACCGAAGGCATTTACATTTATCAGACACTCGCTAGCTGAATACCATAGGGAGTGAAATACCTATCACACATTCATTGATTAACTTGGTACTCAACACACAGACGTTCGTGTCTATGGTCGTATGCCACCAGATTTTTCGTGAAATCTAGAAACATCTCACTTTACCTGCATCGACAGATATACGTAGTACGCACTAATCTCACTGTCGACCCCGCTAAGCTTTGAAAGATCGTGACTGAGTGACTACTTTTTTACGGACAGAACACTATCCACCCTAAGCTATCTCTGTCGGGACAGGTCAAAGAGGGCATCCCAGCGGGATGGTGACGTCAAAGGTTTTTATTCTTCGACACCAGTTAATCAAGCTTAAGGTAGCGTGATGTATCATCGGCATCGTTCACTCTTTGACTTTGGAAAAATTGGGGAAAGTTTCCCAAAAGTTGACCACCAGAAGAGCAGGAATTCTCTAGCGGTTATGAAAGAAATTCCGCGGGACCAATCAACAAGAATCGTTGCTCTTTGTGCTGCGAAAAAAAAGTAGGTGGAAAACTTGGGTAACTAGGTGATTCCATCGTTTACACGGACTTCAGTTAGAAGCTTTTGTCAGTTTCGTGCCAGTAACAGTCACGTGGGCCGCAGTGCAGGTAGTTTGGGAGCATTCGATGAACAGTGTGTCCGACTCATCTCACCCATCCCGAATGCTTCCAGGCGTGGACTTCGCATTTTAGAGTAAACTTGGTGCTATACATCCTAATTCTGACAGTCTGAACTAAGAGAAACTTCTCTAATCTGCACAATTCCTTCAAAAGTAAAGGAGAAATTCATACACGCACACACACCTTATTAACCTTTGAACGTTCCTCCTTTGGCAAGGTTTTTTAGCTAGTCCACACCACGCAGTGGAAGCTTTGGGATCGAGTTAGAGCTTATAAGCAGTGCACAATCTTGGGTGTACTGGGATTCGAACGCTGACCCTCTAAAACGCGATGCGAGTGCATTACCACTTACTAGACACACCTGAATTGCCACTATAAAGCAGGTGAACGTGGTCACACTTGATTGATATGATTGGTCTAGACAACGACCCAATAGCTGTCCTGATTGAGCTTCGTACGAGACCTCCTACTCAGGCACTGCCACATGAAGATATATTTTGATGCACAAGAGATAGCCTAATAATGGTACTTTGTGTGGGATCCTTCACCTTGGACAACCGCTTTCGACCGTCCCTGTCATTTGGTGCATAGTGAGATTTTGCTGTAGTTCGTTGAGATGAGTATCTGGCCAGAGATTTGCGAAGTAGTGCAGAAATGAAACGACTGGTCTACCAAGGTCATTTTTACTGCTTCAGTCTCATTACGAAATCACTTCACCTGAAATTCGCCTGAACCCTGTTATCAACTTAGCCTCACATTGGTAGATTAACTGCTTAATTTTGGGAAAACTTACACGAATGAATATGTGGTTGCTTGGATTGCATGTGCACAACCCAGTAATCCCATTAAACTTCACTTTCTCCCGTTCAGCTGAGCGTAAGTCAAATCTGAACGATTTGCTAAACAACCTGAATCTGCGTCTAACCATTTGCTGCCTGCATTGTTTATTAGCTTCAGCCCCATTCGCATTACAGCCACCAATGTATGTCAGCTAGGCCTATTAGTAGACTTTTTTTGAATCAAGTCATCGATACATTTTAAACTAGGCTCGACATCTGGATCATGACAGTCTTTGGGCAAGTTCGTTCATAAGTATGAATAGGTCTGAATCACTATTGGCAGTACAATGCTCCATCAGGAAAGGTAGACTGCTGTTTTGGAAGCCCTCCATTGGAGTAAACTTGGTACGGTATTATCCGTATCGATGCAAATCTCTACACACCACGAGAGTTTTGTGGGTGATGTAGTCACTTAGATGTCTTTTTAACTCGATCCCCGGGTCGCACTTGAGTCAACTTGACGGCAAACCATACTTTCAAAGGACGCACAACAAGAGAAAGTCGAATTGCGTTAACGATGAATGGTATATCTCATATTCTGATTGGAACACATACCGACAAAGGTGTTGAATAGCAATCGTACATGCTCTTCGCTACCTAAATGTTGAAAACTGGGGTGCTGAAATTTCAATGGCATGCTTTTCCGAGGCTTCCTTGGGATAAGTTCATATTTGATGTTGTGTTTAAAAAAGTCAAATATAGCATCTGAAATGGTGGCTCACTCTGGAATAGACTGGAACACAAACCAGTCCGATGTGCCCCTTTGGACCAAACGTTAGACTTCATTTGGAGGACATACTCAGGGTCATGAGGAACCTGGATTACAATATTTGTATCTAAAGTTTAAGCCGTCAATAAATTCCACGAAGCCACTCGGGACTACCAACATCAGGAGACTGGACTGGCACGAGCTGAAGGAATCCTGGTCAGGGTATGCAAACTTTACTGAGAGTGCATCTCAGTTAAAGTAAACTTATAAGATCCTACCGAAAGGTTAAATTCAAGAGATCGCATTGTGAAGTAGATTTTTGCTAAAAGCTCTAGTGCTGCTTACTTCTCCATATGCACACTATGCTGTACCGTGATTATCCGAATGTCGTACATCAAGAAACTCATCATTTATCCAAATAGATCGGTACTATCTTTCTAACCAATCGGTTTACATCTCTCTTTTTAATGTGATTCTTATGAGTCCATGTTGATTCATTCATTGTACATTTCTAGCCCTTGGTTTCTCTCGCTATCCATTCAACTATCGTAAGTGTGTTTTCGCGTAAAAAAAGTCCTGTTTGAAATTTAGTAACTTCTGGCAGAAGAAAGCCTTGCGCTTGCAAGCCTCCGCGTTGATCTAATAATTGATACCAATTGAACAGTAACATCTGTCATGCCTTTGGCAACAACTCTCGGTTAACCCTGTTTCATAGGTGCTTTCACTAACCAACTAACGCCAAAATGCTGTTTTCATGGTTATTGATGCCTGCTCCTTAAGAAGTACGTGATAAGTCTTCTGCTTCATAGCGTTCAGTTTATTCAATACCCCTCTCTTTCTAATCCGAGTTGGTGTACACAAATTCTACTTGATCAACACACCAGATATGATGACATTCACACGCTTAGCAAGAAGCCCCTAGTGATCAGGTCTGAATATTGACGGACGTGGCTCGTAATTCCCCGTTCTAAAATCATCCCTTGATTTAGTAAACTTGTAGCCAGAAACAACCCAAAACAACTCAGCAGATGGAACCCAGCTGAATAATCAAGAGAGGCTTCGAGATATTGCTTCGGCCTACGCTTCCTACTGGAGTGAAAAAAAGCAAGAAGCTTCATGCTTTATTTTGGGGTTTTGGACAACCCGAATGGAAGAACAATGGATGCATCAAACTGCATCAACTCGAGGGTAACAGCCATCTGATTCCGGTTATCGGTTGCATGGTATGCAAATTTTATCGACATGATTCCCCAGTCAGGGAAAGGGGAAAAAATACAACCATCCTATGGAAAATCTGGCCAGATCTTAAAGTGATTCGTTTCGCTCTCACTTGACTTTACTACCGGGATTATCATGGACTCAAAGGCCTAGAAGATACTGTGATCCTATGGATTCGCATGGCGAAAAGACAAAGTTGGAAGAATACTCGCAGTCCGCGCGGTACTGAAATCTCCACTACCAAACACAATTCTGCGCTTACCAGTGGAGCTATCCAAGAAATCTGCTACAACATGATATCGATAATGTCTTGATCAAAAAAGTGATTACCGCTTTACGGGCGGTTGTCTTGGAGATGTTCTTCTTAGAGAAATGCCACGTCATGAACCAGGAGAAAAATTATTCAATCTAGTTAGAAATACCGGAGAACCAGGAGACTGTTTCGAAAGTCTGCGAAGCCCCATTGCAAAGCCTGGTAGATAAATAAGTCCCAAGCACGCGCAAAGGTTAACGGATCACAGCAGCTGCTGTGAACACCACTGGGTTGAAACAAAGACAGATGGGAGAGTGATCTACTAAGGATGACCAAGTGACAATCACTACTGCTTGGGAAGTTGTGGAACTTGTTCAGAAGATCCATTGTCCGACGGATATAACAACTGGAAAGAAAGCCAGAAGAGCTAGAACCAAGCCTCTGGGACACCTACGGAAAGTGAAAAGCTTTGATCGTCATCATCAGAGACTTTTCGCCGGAGCGAAAGAAGTATAATGACCAAAGTGATTGACGCTTCGGTAACTAGAATTTCACCATACTGTCGAACAACTCAATAAGTCTAACCAGGTGGTGACAATTTGGATGTCTCGTTTTTCAATACCAATCAACCAGTCATAGGATGTGGAATTTGGGCACACAACACTTGAGTGAAGTAACAGCCACAAGATGAGGGAATGGTGGGACATCACGCGTTACCTTCAGACCTCGCCGAGCTAGAAAGTAACGACATCACAGAACGAACTTCTACAGCTGTCATGCATAGCATGGGAGCTGAAAGACTTCCTTGAAATCCCGAAGAATGCAAGGACGGCTTCTTTGCACAAGGAAGAAGGAAAACAGGCACCCGATGCGGAATGCATCCTGTGTATACCTGGTAAGGTATTTATTCTTATCCCCCTAAACCAGCTAGCTGCTGGCATTATGAGGGGAGACTGTTTTGAAGAACACAATTGTTTTTGAGGCGGCTGAAGTGTAATGGACTTGGTCTCGGGAATGACAAAAAGTTTTCAGTCTTGGAAAAAACGGGTGTAGACCTCGACAACTCTCTCAACGGATTCAAGATCAATAAGGAGGTGAAGCATCGTTTTTACTTGCTACAACCCTGTTCAGCTTGCATTAATAGTCCACATCAATGGTACTTTGCCACTGCGAAATTGGCGCATCAAGCAAACGAATGAATACCGATTCAAGTCGGAATTTTTCCTGGCCAAAAGGTCGCTGGATAGTCGATGGATAGTTGTGGTGAATTACGAGGACCGTGAGCCCAATGTCCCCATGATGTTTTTCGTGGATTGCTGGGCTTTATTTTTGCGTTCCGAAGCGGAACTACTGTGACCAATTATAAAGCCTCTTGTGCAACAGTGTTGCATTTTAAAAACGTTTGCATTTTATCAGCTAGGGGAAGGGGCTCAAAGTGAAGCACCACGTATACAACCGAATGAGAGCGTGTGGTAGGGAATTTCTGCCACCTTGGGAACGTACTACCGACGGATTCAATAGTGAATTGAACACAAGCTACACTCAGCAGCGCACTTGGCAACTTCAGGAAACGTGTCTGGGGCGATGGATAGTTGTGGTGAATTACGAGGACTGCGCTGTATCACACTTTCTGCTACACAGTACTGAGTGGACAGATCAACGACCATCTGATCAACCATCAGTACACACACCCGAGCTACCAGTATTTAGACACATTGACAGTTGGTCGGTTTCACTTGCAGTTTCTGTGTAAAATCCCTAATACTGAGTGCGCAGACTGTATCCAGAACACCGAAATTCTTCGGAGGATGAACATTATTGGAGTGAAAAAGCATTTTGAAAAGAAACCAGCTCAGCTGGTTGGGCCATTTGAGACGAATAACAGCTCGTCTACGACCAGCTATAGGGCAGAGTTCGAAATCGGAAAAGATAGAAATTTTGCCGATGAATCGGGCCTCAATTAGGTTTGCAAAACCTGCCTTGATCCGACTTCATTAGAAGACCGTAAGACATGGAAATCCATCCAGGCGGGAGTGAGAAGCCGTAAGACTCAACACTTCTTAGCCCTGCAAAACAAGCTAGTCACTAGGATGACGGTGGATCTTCTTGTGTATCCTTGACTATGTGAAACAGTACAACTGTCGGTATTTCGGGTAACCAGCCCAACCACCCGCTATCTGCAATACATAACTGAACTTAAGATCACTTTGCTTCATTTTTTAATCAATTTCTCCCTCACATACTGTAGTTCTGAGGATGGTGGTATCAGTACTCGTGTTTATTTGAATACCATCACTTTACTCCGAACAACCTAGATAGACTTGCGGAACATTTGTATTTGTTGTACTGAAGAAGGGTGACGTCGATGCCTCGATGATAAACAAGTACTTAGTGCCAGTTTTCAAATTAGTGCCGTCGTGTTCAAGTCGATAACAACAGACGGTTTACGCGGAGCCGAACGTATGCAAGTCGTTGGTTCTTTTGTAGACCCAAGGGAATGAGAATGCCAGCCACACATGCAGATGACTGTTGAATGATATCAGTCGACCTATCAGTCGACATAACAATATGCACCGGCATTAGTTTCCCGTTTGTTACCAAAATGTCGTTGTTTTTTTTACCAACTTTTCCAGGTTTCGGGGTAGCACTCAACTCACCTCGCCATAATACTGTATCAAATTTCATAAGTGGTGACCACCAGATGGGGCCTGTCTCAGAGCTTCCCGGCCTGCGTAGATAGCCATACTCTTGTCAGTCCTGCAGGGTCCCAGGTTACGGTAATGAGATGAACAGAAAAGACCTATTCGGCTGTGCCAGGTGTGTCTTTTGGGGGATTTATCCCGCAGGATAAATCGTGTTGACTTGGTTAGACATTCTGCGATGTTATCCACCGGGAACAGTGCCGTATTCTGTCAACTTCAGGAGCAGATTAATTAAATCTTTCCCAAGTAGTACTAAAACAAAAGCGGTGTCTCGGTAGTGTCAATACGAATGGACGCCGGATGGCGTCCTTGTTGCCTTCCCTCAGCGTACCTTAATATATGGCTATAAAACAATAATATACTTTGACCTTGTATTCAGATTTACTGAGTGTTTTTTAGGCAGGCATCTCCATATGTTTATGTAAGCCTAGCAGCTGACTCGCGGCGTATCATGGTCCACTATCCGGGTGATTCTAGAAAATAAAAAGCAAAAGTGAACGCTGCTGGTCATGATTTGATATTCAGGAGCTTCAGGTAGTGAAACTTCTGAGCTTATGTGATCCAAGTGGCCTTCTATTAGTACGAAATAATATGGCGAGAATGATGAGGCACACCGGTTCGATAACCATGCTAACTATTGCCGCTTGAGTGTGCCAATCAAATCACAATAAGTAAATACCTCACTCTGTGACACCAACATCTATCCCCATGGTGACTGGAGCGACTACAGAGCTAATATTTGGTAAGCAGTGAGGTTATGAACATTCAAATATGGATTTCACCACATGAGATGGACATACATTGTTTTACCCTCGTTGGGATTCGTCAACAGTGCGTTTGTCATAAGGATTCAAAGAGTTTTAAACCCAAAACCTTCTGAATAGGATTTTAACGCGGTACCTGCTGGCTAGTCACTATCCTTCAGTCACGTAGTTTGTGCCATCTACCATCTACCATGTGGGTAACTCATAACATCAAACTCATGACGGACAATGCACGGTCGTTCTTTGACAATTTTCTCAATAAACTTCGAAAGAACTAGTCAACTCTGTGCAGAAAAGGTTAGATTAGAGTAGATTTCATCAACAACAATCCAGTAACATGGATTGCATTCCCCATGGGTGAAATATTCACCTTCACAGACCTTGAATATAACAGAAAATTCCGTTCGGATATCTTGTAGCCCATCAGACCTGGATTTTTTTTTCGGGTCTTTAGGAGGAAACCCTCCGTTTCTCGAGCTATATTTGTTCCCATCTGAAATTTCCACATGGTACTCAGAAAGTGAATATTGTTCATATCAACCACCTATAAAAAAACAAGTACAAACCCACAAATGCTGACTTTGCACCTTTATCGCGCTAGTTTACTTAGCCTAAATTTGGCAGTCTTGCCAGCATATCGCTAAACGCATCATACTCACACAATAAAAATCGGGCGTTCATATCTAGTAGATATCGTTAGTTTGCATATGATCCAAGCGAAATGGAACAAAGTCGCAGGCCAAATCAGTTTCTAATCACATTCCACATCGTGTCCACACAGTGATGATTCCTCCATAAGCTAATTCAGCCAACACAAACGCTAATAACCTGCAGTTATATTTGTTTCAATCAGCCACGCACATGCACACTATGACCAGGGAGCTAAGGGAACGCCTATCGAAAATGCGCGAAGGAGGCGGCACTGGACTGCGATCTGTTCCCTCGCCAACCATGACCTCAGACAGGCCGTACGGACGCCTGACAAAGTACTCGAGCAAAGAGGACGTTGCCGAATGGCTTGTAGCACACAGTTTCCCTCAAAAGTAAGTGATGAACTTTTGACCATATGGAAAACCCGTTCTACAAAGTGAGTTTTTCCCAGGGTGTTTGAACTTTTTACATGGAAAATTCACAAATGAGACCCAACGACAGTATAGGAAACCAACTATTTTGCGCGGGTGGTGAGATGAAATTTTTGAAAAAGGTTGCCCATCGCAACCGAAACGTCGGTTTGCAACATCCCATGCCACTACGTTGTTGAGTTTAAGTTTCGAGAAAACACAAATGTTGTTGCTGGCCATCAGCGAATCGGTCAGGATCAAGCCCAATGCCATTTCGCTTCTTTTTCACATTTACTCATAACACGGAAGCCACCATATTAAGTGTCAGCAGCAACGAAATCGCACCATAGTGGTTCCCCATTACTCGGCACTTCTAAGGATGGATAAACGCTGGGTTTTTTGGGGGATATAACCCTGTCAGTCCTTTACAAGGTTAAGAAACCAACACAATTACTCAGCCCTCTTTCATGCTGGTGGCTCCTAAAATTTTAGCCCAGTAATTGACGTGACTTCGTACAGAGTCTCGTCACCTTGATACGTTTGTCAGACAACGAAATACTCTCACAACTGACTGCTATCATGCTGTCGTAACGTCACAACTAATCTCATGCACACTAAGCAACACAGGAAAACTATGAAAATGGTGTTTATGTCCTACTGTCCTGGCGCAATCATTCTGGTGAGTCCACGCAATAGGGGTAAAGCACTGGGCTCTTATCACAGCCCACCAGTAGTGCATATCCTTGGCAGGGCCAGGGGTTGTTGCGAGGCGAGCATGTTGCCACTCTACCACCAGCACACGCTGGACGCATATGAATTTTCGTGTCTGAATAGGCGAAAACGTTCATACCTGAATAATGTGACCTGACGGCTCGAACGACGGCCCAGTAACTTGCCCGGGTGTTTCGACCAATTGGTCCGCAAGTCAGGATTCCCAGTCAGGTAGCGCCACAGACGCTTGAAAGCTGCTGAGCACTTTTCTGTTTCGTTGCATTCTACTTTACTACGCGACAAAAAACTCCGCTGAAAGATTCCACGACCATTACAACACACCTAGAAATAACGGACAGACGCTGGAAACAGTTAAGAGACACTTCTCATTTCAATCTAAAATAGCGGACCGCTTTAAGAGTAACATTGTTATCGAAGGGAATAAGAGTATATGGATTGAGTTAAAACTTTCGTGCTACACATGTACCTTACTCAGTATTCACGTTTCGAAGGCTTCCAGAGTACGCTACTTTTTTACATATTAACTCCCATTACATCTTATTGAACTGGGATCATCATACCGTAAGGGTCGCATCTCAATCGACAAACCTTATCTACCGGAATAGATGGATCTACTCACGAAAACCACTCACAGGTTTGTTTCGCGTCGTTTCTTCAACAAGATAGAGTAAGCCACGGCTACATTACCATCGATAGTTCTAGTTTACAGTGTGGGAAGGTCCGTTATGTTCACTAGCCATTCCTCTTGATCCAGGCGCACCGACGAAGTGGATTTCTGTGTAGCACCGCATGCCACGAGTGGAGATGTTTATTTCGCCGTCCCTATGCAACTGCCCAATCACAACATACACGCGTCAGGTGATGGGCCTCACTAAGACAGCCATTCTTTAGGTGGGATGATTTTCGGAAGACAGTTCGGAATGGAAAAACGAGCTGCTCCGAAACCACCTGAACCCTTTGGCTCATCACGTCATTCGCTGGGCATGCTTTCAAACTATGGGGTGAAACAGTTACGCTTTCGCATTTAGGTCCAACCATGGTCGAGAATTTTTAGACACTGTTAGCGATGGATCACAGAAATGTTGTCACCATACCCAACTACAGCCGAAATGCTACTGCCGTTTCCCTTTGTTCACGGTAGAGTTCTAGCCTCCATGAAGGGGTTCAACGGAATGGACCTATACACAATGAACCGGGCCCAATTGATGGAACACGTTGGTCCCGAACGATGTGACGAGCTATTTTATGCCTTTCGAGGAAGCTGATATCGGTAAGTCATCAACTATTTTTTGCAAAACAGTCTGCAGCATGACAATGACTGTGGAGTTTGTGGATTATCCTACACAGAATACAATCGTCAGGAATATAATGTGAATGCCTTCGATGAGACAAGAACAAGTGTCTCCAAGTACGGAACCACTGAGGTCCTTTGAATGTGTCCACACAACCTAAGTTTGTTTTCAAAGTCTACGTCTCTCCATAAGAGGTTCTGTGAGATTGTATGAACCATTCATTGGCTTGTGGGACAACGATGCTCGTTCTTGGAGATTTTTCGAACGGCTACTACACCAGCAATTGCGTCCATTTAACTAGCACATCTTAGTTACTATGTGTAGCTAAGGGTATTCAGGGGAGTGACTGCCCACGGGTCGTAGGAGGCGCAACTTCACCTTCGGCCGGGTGGACTCCGGTCGCTGCATAGAGCAACTGACCAGAAGGCGGATGAACAGGTCCTTAAAATGCTTTTCTGTCTTTCTCAGATATGCAAAAGCAAAAACATGGTAGGAACAACAAGGGAGTAGGAGATCAGGGTTGATGTTCTTTCTGTTGTCGGTAAACGAAAAGAAAGCGATAAAAACCAATTCGAACGACTGATAGCTCACGTGATGACTGACTCCGGATCAACGAATACTAATTCCACCTCCGTTGCAGCTTGGTCACGCCACGAGATGTCCTCACTACGTGTTTTTCTGATTTTTATTTCAGGATAGATGGAGTAAACAGGGCACAAATATTTCCAGCGAAAGACGCATTACATGCCAATACCGACTTGCGATAACTCATTCCATCAGTTACCAACCGCGTCATCTCTTTGGCACAACCATAACGACCAACCTGCACAAAAATGCTTACACTCAACTCTATCCTCTCCCCCTTTTTCACTCCAGTGAAAGAACAGGCGTTATCGTATTTCTCTTTACTTTAGCACTCACTCTTTATACTCCCTCCGCGTTCTGGCGCCACGCAGTCGGCAGTTACCCCAATTTATCTGCCTGTGTGAAAGCGAAAATATGCGCTCTTATGTAGTAAAAAGACATTTTTATCACGTAATTTTGTACAAGACAAAGAAATGTTTTTTTCGAAATGCATTCTTCACTTCGTCTTGGGCGTGTTCAAGCCGTATTTGGCTTTTAGACGATCCAGTTCCTCCTTTTTCTTATCTACGTCAGTCTTTTTGAATTGCTGGAAGAGAAATGGGCAGTGATAGCTTATTAACGAGCTATTAAAAATCCACAGACAGCCGTAATAACGAAAAGATTTCGGCTAGTAAATGGGCGTTGAATAAAATGTGCGCATTGCGTTATGTTGCACGTCACGACGGACCTTGCAACCGAAATCGTGACTCCTGTCCTCAGGCCAGGTCTAGTAGAAACTTAGAGCAACAATGGTCGCTCGGATTCATCTGCTATCCACTGTGGTCATTCCACATGAGACAATGTATGCAACAATAATGCGTGGTAAATGAAACGGGGTCGAAATTATTGTTTCCATGTCCAATCAGCGAGCTTATGCGAGCAGGCAGTACCAAGGAGATTAACCTCGGGGGGGGGGGGAACCATATAAGCCAATTCACAATAACAGCTCAATAGTCTCGAAACAGAAAGACAGAATTTAAAGTTTTTCAATAGATTTCTCCATTCTAACGTCCTTTTGCGATATTCTACTAATCCTATCTATCAGGGAAGTGCGTGAATCTAAAGTATACAGTGACGGAAAAATAACAGCTCCGAGCATTTTAAATCCAAGCAGTGAATCCGCCTCATTATGGTTCAAAATGCCGCAAACGATGCTGTAACGAGAAGTTGAGGCACTCTAGTAGCGTATTTCTTGATTTGTGGATGTGTACTTACAGAAGTGATCAGAGTAACATCATCAGAACTTACCTTATGGCGCTGATAATATAGCACAACAAGATACCGATTACAAACGTTGAAGCCACTCAAATGATCACAGGCATTCTTTGCATCAAATATGTCTTCGTATATCACCAAACCGGTGCCCTTAGTTTCTGGAGTGTTTCCAATCCGGATCTGACGAATTGCACCATATTTGCCGAAAATATCATACATTTCTTCTGCAGAAATGTTGTACGGTAGATTTTTCACAAGTAGAACCCGATTGACTTCCGGTGGGAGACGAGTCTGACAGGAATGGTGCAAAAACATGCGATGAATTTCAGCCTTACTATCCCAAGAAGAGTGTTGTACTAGTACCAATAATAATAATAATAATAATAATAATAATAATAATAATAATCGCTCAGTTGTAACAACCTTCCAGTGGCTAGATGTCATGCCATCCGGAAGAAGTACGAGGAATGAGATACTTCCAAGTTGTCTGAGCCTGGATTGAAATAGTAGAGATTCAGAGGCCGGTTCAAACGACGGGCCTTCCGGTCAGAAAACTCGCGCCTTAACCACTGAGCCATCTCGAGCCATATCTCTCAAGATACATATTTGATTCGAAAAGTGTTAATACTAGGTTGTAACAGGGTCCGCTTCCTAAACGGAGGGTTACTATGCAAGATAGAGAGGTTACATTGTTTTTAGTCGGTTTGTGAATACCTCTCCTACAATAACTCGTCTTCATTGATGACCGCACACTGCCGCGTGTCAACTTGGCTTACCCAAAACCATTCTCTACGGACGCGCCAGTCCCACCGCCTATTCTATGAAAATGGAAATGCTTGATGATTTTAAGCGTCCCGGTCATCACTCGTTGTAGCGCAAACCACAGTCGCAGCCTCGAAACTTCAGTATTTTGTACCTACATTTTGTGCCCAACATGCCCTGCCACTGCTGTCTTCAACTGAGACTTATGCTTTTCGGTTGTGCTCGCCGATTGTGATGTGAAGTCCTGTCCCACTCAGGCCTTGATACAACCTTTGTAGTTGACCGGAGCCCCGCTTAATGTGCCCAAGTTAGTGCTTCAGGAAGGAACAGTGGGGCGAAAAGTCTCGCTACGAGTGGAGCGAAGCTGATTTATCCAAAGATTGCCAGCCTAAGTACGGGACCCTATTTGGAAAACGGACACCATAATCGACTCTCTCCAGTTGTCCAGAATGACCTCATTTTCCAAGCCAAATAGACTGAGGACTTCACCCCCTGAATAATGCAGGTATAGGTATATAGGACCAAACGCTCGAAGGCAATTGTGGTCCGCCTACTTGACGCCTGTGTGCGAATGTCCCGAGAGCATTTCGATCCCAGACGTTTCAGAGGCGAGCAGAGAAATTTCAAGCACCACATCAATAACAAAGTCGGGGAAAAGTGATATTGGGCAGGCTTGTCTTATTCCGCTAGAAGTGAACTCAGGCGAAAGCTTGTCGTATACTCGTGGGGGATATCAATACCCCCCAGAAAATGCTGTGTTTTTATGTGTGCTAGCGAACTCCCAGCATCTTCAAGGTCAAACTATGAAATATCAATGACCTGTTGATACTCTAAGGAAATTTAAATCCGACCTTTTATGTGTCTAGCGAATTCCCAGCATCTTCAAGGTCAAACTATGAAATATCAATGGCCTATTGATACTCTAAGGAAATTTAAATCCGAACACGTACAGGATACCATTTCTTTCCACTGACTTGGGTTCGGAAGCTCCGGGCATCGCCTGTTGATCGTGTGTTGTTGGATTATTAAAGTTTGTGTCCGAGGTTCT